AAAGGCATCATCCTGCTATAACCACTCAAAGTCCAGCGACGTTTCAGTACGTTGCTGGTCCTTGTTGGGCATACATGTAACAGTAGAGAACATTGGCATATGGTGAATCTGATCTGTGGACTAATATGGCCACAATTCATTCAATTTTTTTGTAATGCTTATATTGAGGGTTAGGCCCAAAAAAGTTTTACATTTGGAAACCATGATAGGTTTCCATGCGAACTGTGGCAAGAGCTGAATTTTGGTGGGTGGCAATGTATTTTTGTGTGTATAAATAGCTTTGGCCCACAATCAATTGATACAAATCTTAAAATCTTCCGTGAAAAACAGCAAAGAGGCTAAACGCTAATGCTGGCAGTGAACAGGGCTGATCCTACTAACGCTGCGTTTTTGGGGACACTATACTAAGGCGGCACTAGTATAGTTCTGTTCATGATCTATATATTGATCAGTACAAACACTATGCTAGTAATGGGATTGATCAGTGACCTGTAGCGCAATTGCGATAGTGTGCGGGCAATCTACGCTAGCTGACCCTGGCTGAGAGGGGGGAGGGGCAATAATTGACCCTGATATTATCTGATGTCCCTAGTGGCAGTAATACAGTGAAAAAATCTATATACTGACACTGTACTAATGGCACTGGCTGGGTGACAAGGTGATTAAAGGGTTGTGGTGTGTGCATGTGTGTGTGTAAAGTAGTATGGTGTTCTCTCTTCTCACCCTGGACCAATTGGAGGGGGGCAAACATACTTTCATCAGAGTAGTGCAATGTTACCACGGTAACATTGTACTACCCGAGGGGGGGGGTGATCAGGGATATATATATGTTTTTAAACTTTACTTTGCAGGAGCAATAAAGAATATTGCTCCTGCTATGTAATGCTTCCTTTGAACTGTCATGAATGTGTTAAGTTCATGACAGTTCAAAATACTAGTGATCTGAGATTGGCTACAGCTGATCACTTGGCAGTGTGCTGTGATTGGCCCATGTATCATGTGAGAGCTGTGGGCCAATCACGGCTCACTGGGAAGGGAAGCAGAGCTGTTATGAATTAGATTGATTTATAACAGCTTCGCTAGCTTTGTGATCATGTGATTGCATAGCGAACACATGACCACCGGGTCCCATTTACTGAGATCCACATTCCGGACACCGTGGTCGCGGGGTGTGGGGGCGCTGCACTCCCCTGTGTCAGTACAGCCCAAGTGACATACCAGTATGTTGCTCTGCCTATAGCTGCCGCCCTTCTGCAGTAAAAGTACCGCTGGCGGTCAGCAAGTTGTTAAGCTTATTTTAGAAATCTCCTTTCATGTTGTGCATGCTCTCTGTCTGTTGGCCATCTTTTCCCACAATCTTCTGGATTCCCTGCATGCTTAGTAGCTTCTCCTCTGGTGTTTATTAGGACTGCATAACCCATGGTACCTTACTGCATTGAGCGGGACTTGCGAGCAAGCACACATTAGTGCCCCCATAGAAAATAGCTTGGTATTGGGGCACTGGTCAAAGGGGAGGAGTCAGGAGTGTCGGCGGGGGACCCAGCAAGAAGAGGATTGGGACTGCTCTGTGCAGGAAAGTGTGATGTGTTTGTTTTTATAAACAAACTTTAGAATCACTTTCAATTTTGACCATAGATATGCTTCTTTTCTGCTTGTTTATTGTATACATTATAATACTATCATACATTTTATATTATTGGTAAACAATGGTATTATCAATCATTTCACTATTCTAACCAATACTGCTAATAGTATGAATATTATCAATTTATGGTCATCCTTATTTTAATTACCATCGTTTTGATGATTAATCCTATTATCAATTTAAAGATGAAGTTTACCCTTTGGAACATGTTACATGTTCCACCCATATTTAAGGTGGAACCTGTAGCTTGTTCCAGCTCCTGCTGTCAGTTCCCCTCCCCCCCCCCCCTTCAGTGTGGCAGCAGGCGGGGGGGATTTTATTCTTGCAAAAATATGTGCATTTATTTATTTCTTGAAAGGTTAACTTAGCCTTTGGGGCCAATTCACACAATATGTGGTGACAGACGTTTTGCCGAAAGGACACACAGGAAACAATCATTTCCTATGTGTTCCATTCACACTGCAACACAGCCTAGCGCTGAACTAAAATGTAGACCTGCTGCATTTTATTGCAGTTCACCAGCCTGAATCATGCTACAATGTCAGGCAGTGCATTGTGCTGCGGTGAATGTAGTGCATGTTTTGTACACTTCAAATAAAGCATGTACAAAAAAAGGAGCCGCGTGATGTGCTGAATCGCGTGCCACACTGCAAAAAAGCTTCAGCTGCTCTGCGATTTCCAAGGTTGCCCTGTGTGAATTTGCCCTTAATGTTTTCACCCTTTTATTTATGCCCTGATTTGTACTGGATCTTGTTTCCTTGATTTCTGAAATGTGTTATAAAGAATTGATTCAAGATTTTTGTTTTCTTCTATCTTTGCTGCAATTTTATCCCTGATGAAGAAGGCAGAATTACAGCCCCCAAAATGCACTGGTTTTATAAACAGACTGTTATTGGAGTAAACTTGTATCTGGACTTAATATTACAAGGTGCCATTCCTGTTCTAGGTTCATACAGCAATATGTACCATTGGGTCTCTTTATATAGGAAATTCTACTGAACACACCGCTCACTGAAATGTAGTGTTCTAGTTTCCAGACCATTACATCACCTTGAACATTCTGTGCATTCTGTGCATTCAATTTTTTTTCCCATTACTGATCGAGCTAAGATAGCCAAGCAGCAACTGATCATGTGAAATAAGGGACATATTTGCAATGACTTTATTTGATGATGTTTGGGCACAGGAGCCCATAAATCATTCTTTGACCCCTGTGACTCTCAGGTTAGCACTAAAACTAACTTTATTCTGTGTTTCAAGGGACATTAAGCAGGGCAATAAATAACACACGCTGTTCAGTTACACAGAGCCTGCAGCTAGACTGTTAACCATTTGTAGCTGATGCTGCTGAAGTGATAGAGCTGATTATTTCTATGTTGAGGATGATAGAAGATATTTATACATTCATAGTAAATGGATATGTAGAGCAAAATTGTGCAGTAACCTATAGAGAAGAAGTTTCATAATTATGAAGCTAGATATACATGCAGGACTCTGATTTGTTGGAACTAAACAATCAGATTTATGAACAACTCTCTGACATGTTCATCCACTGTGTGTGTGTATGTATGGTGATCTCCCCGGTATAGACCATGAGGGGGTGCTCCAGGGGAGATCACTAGTGATGTTGGTGTCCATCCCCTTGTGGAACAGTTTGTGCTGAGGGTTACTAGTACATTGCTCCTTGTCTCACAAATTTACATGTCAGAATATCCCTGGGATACTATCAGATCTGTTATTCAAAACAAAAGAAGTTGAACACTTAACAAATGACCAGTATCACCTTATTACAGGCTGTATTTCTAGTAATCTGTATATACCATCCTCACTGAATAGCATTAATTTATTTTTTAAAGCAGACCTCCAGGCAAATACATAAATACACACATGAAATACAGTACATATAAGGAGTTGTTTTACCTGCCAAAGGCTTTGTATTCCTGTCAATCCAGTTCTAAGATGTGTACAACACTGTCATGCAGCACAGCCCTGTCTGGCGGGGCAGGACACCTACATTTTCTCTGATACATTTAAGTAATGCTTACATTGAACATTTTAAAAGTGAAAGGAGAAGCAACATCCTAATGAACTCCTCTCTCATTTTGTTCTCTCCTTCTGTCCGCATGTTCTCTGTCCGCATGTTCTCTGTCAGCACATAAACTGACTGGCTCATTGGGGCGTTTCTCCCTCTCCTAGTCAGAGCTCTGTTGTACAGGGCCTGCAAAAGGCTGATGCAAACTTGGGTACTTACACTGCTTGCATTTAAAAAAAAAAAAATACATGTAATGATGTAGTAATGAACAAAAATCTCATTACTGTGTCTTTTTTTATGTACAGGTGAAACTCGAAAAATTAGAATATCGTGCAAAAGTTCATTTATTTCAGTGCAGCAACTTAAAAGGTGAAACTAATATATGAGATAGACTCATTACATGCAAAGCAAGATAGTTCAAGCTATGATTTGTCATAATTGTGATGGTTATGGCTTACAGCTCATGAAAACCCAAAATTCACAATCTCAGAAAATTAGAATATTGTGAAAAGGTGCAATATTCATATATTTACATTAAAATCCAAAATGCTTGGAAAATGGGTGTGCATCGCCCTCCAGTGGCATGCATTTTTATGTGCGTTGACACTATTTTTGCATGTTAAATTGCTGTGGGTCCTAAGGGACAAAATAATAGCTCTTTTTTTTTTCCCTTAATAGAACTGCATCACATTGATGTGCATTTAAGTGCATTGTGTTAAAATGCATACATGTAGAATTTTAACACCACACTGCACATGACACCAGCCTTGTGGTGTGAACAGGATACTTTGAAAACAATTGTTGTCTGTGTGTCTTTGCAGTGACCTTCTTTCTTCCAGTGCAGTATAACACAGGTCATTGCAGTATGTGTGAGCATGGACAGAGTTGGTAAAGGTGAGACGCTGTGCATACAGAGAAAAGACCGCTGTCTGCTATACACAAGAGGACATCAGTATGCAGCTTGTATGTATCCAGGGAGGAAGAAAGTGGATTTTTAACATTCAGCCTATGTGAAGAAAGAATGCAACACCTTACTTCATATGCATTCAGCGGTGTACAGAGAGAGTAGCTAAGCATTATCCTTACACAATTCTTCAATAGAAATGGGATTATAGCTGCCATGATTATGGATTGAATCCCCCTTTAATATTGAAGCATAAACATACATGCAGTATCTTTTGTGTTGTTCAGTTGCTGTCTGTGGCTGTTCTTCCTGTTATAGACTGTGGCCTTGCATCAGTTTGTAGCAGTTTGCTATGTACTAGAACAGCTGTCCAAGACTCTCCTGCAACCTCAACGCCCTTATTTTTGCCATCTTTTTAGGAATGACCTGCCAAGCCCGCTGCTCCTATGTGGACACAGAAGTTTTGTGGGGGCACCGCTTCACCCCAGTCCTTACCCTAGAAAAAGGTTTTTACGAAGTGGATTATACAAGCTTCCATGATACTTATGAAACTCCCACACCAAGCTGCAGTGCCAAGGAGCTGGAGGCACTCCAGAGAAGTGATCGGCTGTTCCACCGACTATATTCTCCACAAAACGTATGAAGGAACGCAAAATGGAGCACCCAGATCAGAGGACACTAAACTTACATCACAACCAGACTGAAGAAGATACTGTGTACTTATAGGGTCTACTGTCCCTCAGGGGTAAGGAATATGGACAGCTATTCTCTACTAGATGGAGCACTTACTGGACTTTAGGGTTGGGTCATAGAAGACTTGGCCACAGTTAGCATTTTTATGTAAGGTGATAACTGGTCATAGACACAGGGCAGGTTGTAGTAACATCCAAATAGTGTAATTCAGCCTTTTTTTCTTCAAGAAATTTAATTCCTGACTCATTCTTGTTGTGTCTTGAAGAGTAGTCAGAAAAACTATACAATCTAATATTTATGTTCACAAGTGCACAATGAAAAACAGAATTAGTCTTTGGTCATTTTCATATCGGACATCTCCACAGTGCAGACTTTCACTGTTTTTGTGAATATGACATTTAAGAAAATAAAAATGTTGAAAATATCAATTTGTGTTTTTTTTTTTTCTGTACGTTAATTAAACCTGCACATTATAGGAATATAAATATCACAGGGTCTCATTTAAAAGTATAAATTAAGCACCAAACAACAAAAAATAAAATAGTTTGATAACAGTCCTCTTTCCATGTCAACTCCACTAAGCTGCTTTGGATTCCTTTTCACAAAGTTTAATAGTACATACATCGTCAGGTATTGCAGGGATACATCCATTGTACCAAGCCAAATCTGGTTAATGCAATATAGGTATCAACCTCTTTAACATTGTTTACCACATAGCAGGTTTGTAGACGTTATGCCTACTCAAACAATACATTTGGCATAATGTTCCTTATAACTTCTTAACCTGACAAAGACATATTACATTAAGAAAGGTTTCAGAAACTTTAACATAACTGTTAAACCAAACATAGAATAAAAGAAAAAGTAAGAACAAATATATTTTTTCATTGTGCTTCACTCTAAATGTACTAGAATAGAGAAATGGTAATAAGGGTACTGTGGATTTTTATGTCACCAGATCAAGTTGATTTGTTACCTTATGTTTTCCCAAGGAGTCCATTGTGCATGGAATATAAATATGTGAGACTGATTACATGCAATACATTTTTCATATTCGTATGTTAATGCCAAATGTTGTTTAACCTCCAATATGCTTGGAGGCTCATTGGATTTCCAGCTCCTAGTTATAGCTAATCTGGCATCCATCAATATATGTATTGTTAGTGGTCTTAATTGAGTTGGGATGTTATCTATGCCGATAATTAATTTTGCAAATTCCGGAGTAGGTGTAAGGATTAAGCCTGTAATAGATGTTATTAACCTGTAGATACCTTTCCAGAAGCTTCTCAGGTGCGGACAGGCCCAAAGCATATGGATTAAGGATCCTATTTGTCTACATCCTTTCCAACATTTATCATCGTTAGATCGAATTTTGCTTTAATATATGAAGTAATATACCATCTAAGGTGGATTCATTTCGGGCCAATGTTTAAATGATGATGTATGTATTTGGAAGTAAAAATCTTAATACAGCTAGAGGTAGAGGGACCTGAATACTTGGCTTGTTAGAATTATGTGTTTTTCAGGAAATATTTCCATGCCTGTAATATGGCTGTTGGTACCCCCCTCTTATTGGTATTGTGAACAAAGAACAGAAAATATTCTTATGACAGCTGTTCCTTAGTAATCATTGCAATAATATCTATATGGTACATTCACATACGTCCTCTTGTGTACGCACATTTTCATAGCATAGAATTATGTATTTACTACCTATCATGTTTATAGGTAAATGTATCTACCCACCCCACCCCCCTTCCCAGAAAGTTACCTATTGCAGCATAGTAGACCTTAGATGGGGTGGCTCTATTAGTTTTTTTTCTTTTTTGGTTAGGCTTTTTCCCTTTAAATTCTGCTGCTGACGCTGCCAGTAAAATCCTCCAGTCCTAGGCTGTCAGCACTCTATCTGTAACTATGGAGCAGTGTAGTCACTTTTGGACAATGTCACCATGTGGAGAGGGTAGTGTTAGGTGGTCTAGTAGACTTAAGGTGACCATACACTATGCAATCTGATTGTACAATCTTCTTTTAGGTCTACCAACTGCTATGTAGTATCGCTTCTCGGCCTTTTGGCTAAGATCAAGTGTAGTATCTGTTCTTATCAGTGTCCAGTGGGGGTGCTCCCGGCCATTCTAGCTTTGCGGGGATGGCTGTTGTATAGTACCCTCACTGGTATGATGGGGGTCCGGAAGGCTAGTACCGGAGGGACAGAAACCAGGGAGCGCCATGATTCGTTCTGGGGCCTTGGGAGTAATTCCTCTGGGAAGACTGGAAAGACCCAGTACCTCCTGATTCGGAACGTGATCTACCTTGGTCTGGCCAGGGGCTGGGGACGCAAAAAGTCCGCAAACTCAGTGCCCCCTGAGGAAGACTCTCTCAGGGGTGTCACTAGTAACACTTGGGTGTGGGACCCCACGGTGTGAAGATGACACATGGCCACTGTTTTTCACCTCTTTTTGCACAGCGCCCTAAGGACCAGGTCTTTTGGCTAAGTCCAGGGCAATTTTTGCTACGGGCCTCAGGGCCTGGTCTGTGCACAATTTGGCACGGTACCACTTTTTTTTTATTTTCTATTTATTTAATTTATTATGCACTCCCACGTTTGTCACTTTTTTCTTTGCTTATGTGTGTGTTTCACGGATGGAGGGTGTGGGTCCTCAGGCCTACCCTGAAGTCTAGGGGGAGGATGTGTGGCCTTTTGGTTCCTTCCTCCCCTGATCCCTAGGGGGCTTTCTCTTCGGGAGAGCCCCCTGGCCTAGTACTGGATGTCTGGCTTCGGCTGGACACAAGGAACGGTGGTCCACCAGGCCTTTTGGCTAGGAGGACCAAATGGGAACCTTGTCTCTGTCAGGAGCTTCGTGCCCCGGGGATCAGGGTAACGGTTCAACCCCTCCGGGGGTAGGACAAACACACCTCTAAGTGCACTTTTTCGTGTGGTGTTCGCACTTGCACTTTTTTTGTGATCACTTACGGGTTTTTCGTTGTAGTTTGCACGTTTGCGGACTTAAAAAAAAAAACAAAAAAAAAAACTACTATGTAGTATGCGGCCCTGCCTGATTTAGATACAAATATACGAAGTGTTGTCTATCCCTATAATATATAGTTTTAGTAAAGCTAATGGAGATTGTACAGAAATTGTACAATTAGAATATATCGTGCATGGCCATCTTTAGATTGTCATTACATAAGTGACTAAAAGTTAAAGCCGAACGTAGATAACACTTGTTGGACTTGTGCAGATGTGCTGTAGGGCTTGGATACCGAGAGAGCCCTGCGGAACATCTATACATGTGCCAGGTCTCCTGGGTATCTGTATACATGTGGGTTTTCCCAAGCATGTGTAAAACCTAAGATCAGGGAAGTATGAAAACTGCCCAGGCTTTACGCAGTAAACTAACTGCATGTGTGCAGATGTGCCAACAAGCTCTTCCAGGACCTGAAGGCCAGGCAGAGCCTATGGGTCATATCTATGCATGTGCCACAAAAGAAAGAGACTGAATTTCCGCTTTAATTGAAGTTGAAAAAGAGCAGATTTACTGACAGAATCAACGGGGAATAAAGCCCCATAGATGATGCCATTTTTTTTCCTTCCACCACAGGTGGCAGTGCTATTGTGTTCTGTTGGCAGGAGCCTTCCCTAGATGAATTGAATAATTTGGGCCATAATAGACTTTTTTTGTGGTGCTCAAGGATGTACTTGTATTCCCTGACAGCAAAACACAATGATCATTGCTGGTAGCTATAGCCACCAGCAGTGATCGCATGGAAAAAAATACGACAGACTGGTAGTACTGAAGTCAATCAACGGACTGACTTCAGTACAACCAGCATAACCAGCCTACCCAGATACCGAGATGGATTGAATCTTGGCTGGTCCTTGCTGAACAACCATGATCCAATCCATCTGTGGCTGGCTTAAAACTTGATATAGAGGAACTCCGAAAAACTGCAATGTCATTTTTTTTTGTTTTTTTAATTTTGCCCAGAGTTTGACTTTAACTGCACATTGATGCACACCCAAACACACATGCTGAGCGCCATAGTAAAATAGACATAATTGACTCTAGTTTCCTCAGCTTTTCTTTGTGTGGTCTGTTTAAAGAAAGACTCCACTGATCATTATTTGCAGTTAAACTGACAATCCTCAATAGAATATTAATAATTAAACTTTGGGCATGTTGTGGTGTGTGTGTTTTTTTTTTTTTTTTTTTTATATTTTCCATTAACGAGCTCTTTTGCTAATGGATATTCTGTATATTTTAATCCTACAGAGGAAATTTTAAATGGCTTTGAGGCCATTTAAATTTCATCTGCGCACTTAAAAATGGAATTCCTGCTCTATAGAATATTGCTCTTCATATGGGGTGTATGGGTACATCCAGACAATATTCGTCACATTTATGTAACTACAATCAATGTATTCACTTTTATCCACTTGTCTGTCCATCCTCTCATACACTCCTTCCCCTCTGCTGAATGCCTGGGTACTTGCCCATCTAGCGAGCTATTGTGCACCAAACAGGTCCGTGTTCCAAACCTTTTAACTACCTGCTGTGACAGACAGAGGAGCATAGAACTGCACTAATCCTTTAGATGCACAAATGACAGGCTTGAGAACATTTTATTTATGTGGAAAAGGAAAATTATGGAGCTTGCAAACACAAACTTAGGGACTTCTGTAGACATATTTCACAATATTAAAAAGGTGGTTCGACTGACTTTTTTTTTTTTTTTACACCTATATAGTTTATCCCAGAATCTATGGACTAAAATAGATTTACCAAGCTGTGTGACACAGGAGTGTTGTGGATACACAGAATTCGTACATTCCAAGCAGATGGTTTAAACGAATATTGGCCTATTGTAATTGCAAACTATTCTAGTAGATAATGATCATACTGAAGTAATTCTTGTTTGGGAAATATATATATATATATATATATATATATATATATATATATATACACACACTATATGCTAAAGGTATTGGGACTCCCCTCAAAATCATTGGATTTAGATGTTCCAATCACCTTCATGGCCACAGGTATAAAAAAATCAAGCACCTATGCATGCAGACTGCTTCTACAAACATTTGTGAAAAAATGGGTCACTCTCAGGAGCTCAGTGAATTCAAGAGTGGTACTTTTGATAGGTTGCCACCTGTGCAATAAGTCCAGTTGTGAAATTTCCTTGCTACTAAATATTCCACGGTCAACTGTTGGTGGTATTATAACAAAGTGGAAGCAACTGGGAACAACAGGAATTCTGCCATGAAGTGGTAGGCTACGTAAAATGACAGTGGGGTCATCAGCTGTCTGCAGAGTCAATAGCTATGTAAGGGATTTCCGGCAAGAAGAATCGCGATCGGAAATGCGCATGCGGATAGGAATTCCTGCAGAAGAATTGCCGGTTGTGCGCATGCGTGCAGGAATGTGCGATCGTGCACGAGCACGGCGAAGATTGGCACCAGACGGTTTATTTAAGGAGTGCCTCTGCTCATGTTCAGTGCTGACTGGTCTTCAGTTCCCCCGTGTCCTGCTTGTTCCTGTGTGATTCCTTTGTTGCTGACCCGGCTTGTTCCTCACCTGACTCTGATTGCTCTCCTGATACAGCTTCCTGACTTTGGCTCTGCTCCTGACCTTGGCTTCTCCTTCTGATTCTGTACCGTGCTGCCCGACTGTTGATGACCCTGGCTATTTCATGACATTGCTCCTGTTTCTTGTCCTCACTACCTGCCTTGCTCTGGTGCATGCCTGGCAATCTGCAAAACCTGCTCTGCCCACTACTACTGTGCCAAAATCAGAGTATCATCAGCCTTCCAAGGTCTTCATCTGCAAGAGCTGCAAACAACAACTACTGGCACTCTTGTTCCCCTGGGTCCTAGACTCCCTCTGTTCCAACTCCAGCGGGGTCAGGGCTAGTGACACAAGTGAGGCCGACCTCGTCATTTCAGTCTCCCATCAAGTATGTAACAAGCTAAAGTCTGGGTTTGGCAGTTGCCAGGAAAACAAGTCTAAAGTTTAGTGGAGGGGGGATTATGGTGTGGGGTTGTTTTTCAGGGGTTGAACTTGGCCCATTTGTTCCAGTGAAGGGAAGTCTTAAGGCGCCAGCATACCAAGACATTTTGTAGAATTTTATACTCTTTGTGGGAACAGTGTGGGGATGGCCCCTTCCTGTTCCAACATGACTGCGCACCAGTGCACAAGGGAAGGTCCATTCTTCTTCTAGCCTTCACCTTTATTTTCTTTCTCAGGCATTGAGACATTTCTCTTCCATGTGGTCCCATTAATGACAGCATGAAATGGGAAGGGGTTTTCTTTAAGTAACACCCTTTTTTTATAATCAACTGTCTGCTGGACACCGGTTTAATGAATATTTAGACTCGCCTATAGTTGAATTCTTGTTTATTAGGATTTTGTTGAGTAAAATTTAGCTTTGCGCTGAAGACTTTCATTGGGGTATATCCATTTTTTTCAACATAGCCTTTATTAATTTGTTAGGGAAAAATACTTTTGTGTGTGCAAATTAACAAATCTTGTTTGCAATCAATGGCCTGCATTTGTGGAATTTCATTAGATCACTTATGTTACAGTCTATTTAATCATTGAATTATTAATGTGGGATATATTGTACCATCCAATAGTTTAATATTAGATTTTTCTATTCAGAATTATGATTGTCTTGAGTAAAACATAGTACAGTAGTTCCTTCTAATTTAAAGACTAATACAAT